CTGACATACTATAGTTATCACGTGCAAGCAATTGAAAATCCACTTGCCATGTAAGTGTTATATCATCTATGATCTGGCACGTAGTAGCAGAAAGGGAGCATCTTACTGTGGAGAAAATGCTGCTCTGAGAGCCGTATCTCTTTAGAGGGAAGGGCATTACAAACAAAGACCACAAGCTGAGTGTTTGACATCTGTCCTCAAGCACCTTCAAGATGTTTAAGATTTTTCACCTCTTATACTTTAGAGGGTCTTCTGGGCTTCTTTGCATGTTGGTGTGAGCTAATATGATTTAGTACTAAAACCTGAAAGAATAGAGGTCAACTCCTCTCGTTTTGTCAGTTTCGCAGTTTAATTCAAAATGAGGTAAGAAATTAGGTCTGAAGTTTGGGAGCTTTCAACCTCACCTGAAGGAGCTTCCAGAAATATCAGCTGTAGCCAATAATCACTGAGTTATTGGTATTGATCAATGACCCAAACAAACTTGGATTTTGAACCATTGGACAGTAAAATTGTCACTAATGCACATTCAGCATGTTCAAATTTGTAATACTGAGTCAATATGATGCTGAGTCTGGAAACTAGTGCCTGATTGAGAGTGAAACACCACGCACAAGCCTTAGATTGTGTTGATTACTGATGTGGATGCAACAAGCCGTCTCTCTCCATGTCAAATCACTCTGAAAGAGTAACCTTGTGACAGCTGTGCATGGGAGATTAAGAACCGGCAGCACCAATCAATTTTAATTAAAGCTGTATCCATTGTGTTGGCAGACATCACAGAGTGGAAATCCCGCCCGAAGTAGATAAAGCACTGCTCTCTGTTCCAGACTTATTAAGGCCAAATAATTGATCACCCATTAGTGTAAAAGGAGCCAGACTGTTCTGAGTAAATCATCTGGATGAGGCAAAATTACACACCAATGTGGATCCTTTGAGTCAAAAATACCAACAGAGGATCTTGTGTGATAGAACTCCTACATCCCATTACGTTGTAATACCAACTTCTCTGTCTTTCTTTTAATTGTCTGTATCGATTCTTGTTTGTTGCTTTATTATTTATTATTAAGAAGATGGTGCATTTGATATTAATGGACACTTCATTTTAAAAGCACCAGTATGATTTTAGTCCTAGATTTAGTAAGTCCTTGTCAGATGGTTGAGCAGCATCTTCATGTTCAACATGTGGTCCATCAGTTCCTGTAACTTTTGAAACGGACAATCCAACGAGCACATCCACTTCACGAAGTCAGAGGCAGGATTCCAACTTCTCTCTCTCAAGCTCTCGTTTTTCACTTTACTACTTTTCTTCACTTTTTAAGTGTACATCTGAGTGCAAAACCATTAACGCCTTTGACAATCAAAGTGAGCACCATTATCCCATGACGGCAGACCTTTCGCCCGACCTTTGTGTGGCCAGTTAGGACATATCAAGTGTGAACCTATGTCCGATGTCACCCATCGTGTTTGGCATTATAGCCGTTGCCATGTTGGTCATTTTCAGCCACCAGAAGACTTCAAACTAGTGACTCAGACCATAAACTTATTAGGAAACTGTTTACTGAGCTAATAAATCAAGTGAGAAGTTGGGTCACTATTATCCATAAGGCTCAGTTCTATCGAGCCCATGGAGCTGCCCCCTACTGGTCATTAGACAGAGTGCAGGTTTAAGACACTTCCACATTTGCTTCACTTCACAGACCCAGAAGCTCTGCACACTAATTATATACCGTAAAATGACAGTTATCGTTCTCTCTACCCCTCCATCTGGGCAATCAGGTGCCTATGAGGACAGTGAAAGAGGTATTGCTTGCTGTAATTGTTCCATACTGGACATTAAGAGGTTCCTCTCTAATGTACTACCAATGGGAGTGATTGGGGACAAAATTCAAAGTCCTTGTTCTGTGCTAAAATGAGCATTGAAGTTTATACAAAGTTATATGCATCTTAGGCAGATTATCTTCCAACGGTCATTTTTGTTCAGTGTTGGGGAAGCACAAAGTCTTTTGCTGTCTGCTATGCCTTTAAACACACTAATCTGTTACTCCAACTGGACCTTCAGGACTGTATTTCATTGTCACACCGGTACCTCGAACAACGTGCCACCACCAACTCAGCCCCCTCTGTTGTTTCAACGTAGGGCTGAATCCCTGCTAACATGGAGTTAGGCCAGAGATCTGGAGCTCTGAGTTAGCTTTGACCCAACTGAGGAGTGTATCATTTAAATTGATGTTTTATATTTAAAAACTATTTCAGTTAGATTGAAAGACTGAAGCTCCATTTCTGTAAGAGGCTCCATTTTCACATTGTAACAACAGGAAATCCACTCTCTTGCTCTGAATCCAGTGCACTTACATGGAAACACAAATAGACATGGGGGATGACAGGAAAGTGGGTACATGGGTAGTTAATAACAGAGTAGTAGATGACAATTTCAACACAGAGAATTGGTTTTCAATTGACTTATCTGGTTAAATAAAGGTAAAAACAAATAAAAATCCAGAAATGCACAACATGATAAAACAATGTGGGAATTAAACAGTGAAAGTTTCTTCAAAAATATATCTTGATTATAACCCTTTTGTTGTCCCTTAGTAGTTATTAATTTAGGTTACAAAATGTGAATTAAAAATGAAAAACATTTATTCAGTAATAGCAGTATTTTTGTTTATCTGTTTATCATAAATCATCCATCATGGAAACAGTAAACTGATAATGTGCCGTGCTTTATATCGTAACAGCTCTTCTCTACCATCTGGATTATATTTCTTCTCCTCTCTGCCTGTGTGACAATGAGGCGCTGTGCCTCGCTTATCAGCACTAAACCACCGTGACAGACTGGAGCTGGGCTGCCCCAAAATGGTGGCATTTACCTCCCAAAAGCACAACTAGAAAAACCATTTGCACTGTACGGTGGGGCATTTTCTGCTTCCCTCTTTTCCAACTGCGATTTCCTTTCTCTTCCTTTCTCAGCAGAAGATGATTGCCTGAATTGCCCGGCACACTATGCTTATCTCTGCGGTATAGGTCTTTTGTATGGTCTGTCGTTTAAAATGATTGGGCCTTGGGGAGAAATTTGTGCACTCTCACCACTCAACAGGAAATAAGAAGAGGAGAATCAACATCAGCTCATTTGTGTAAACTCAAATATCATTGAGCTACGGCACAAATTAACTGAAATTTCATTGCTGATAATAATAATAATAATAATAATAATAATAATAATAATATTTTTAAGCTGTGTAAATGAATGGCTACATTTCTAATCTGATATCCACAATGTAAACAAACTACCTTACACTTCTGCTCCAGGGTCATTAATTGCCTGAGGTGTATCACGTCATTGCAGAAGGCTGCATTTCAGCCCTCCTGACATAATCCAGATTACTTAGATGTCAATGGAGAGCGGGATTACCGCACCATCATGAGTGATTTAGGTATAATTGCACTGACGGAGCCCTAGTATTGCTTTTCCAAATGAAAACAGATGTGATGGTCTGAGAGGGGATAAGAGCAGAAAATTATGTTTTGTGAGTTTTTTTTGTGAATGAATGATGAATGAATGAAAATGACAATGACAGCTTCTTGTGTTTTGTGTTGTCAGTTCATTAAAATGAACAATTAATCAATTTAAGTGAAAGCAGGTTTCAGTCCTGTTGTTGTTGATGGTGGCGTGGTGTTTGGATTACTAATAACGACAATAAAAATGCAAATCTAACGTAGATTTTCTTCATTGCACTTACAAATTTGGTTTAGAAGTGAATGTCATTAGACTTACCAAACAAAAAACATTACACGGACAAAAATCTTATGGTCCATCCTATAGCTTTGTTCAGAGCTTTCAATCCCCTCTCACAATCATTAGTAATAGTTTGCTCACATTTGCTGACAAAGACCTTGAGATGAGGCTGAAAGTTCAAGAAAAGAAATCTAGTAATTGAGAAAAGACTTGGTTAAACTAATATTTCTAATGTCAGATTCATGCTATCTAAGGCATCCGTAGTGGCTCCAGAGTAGATTTTAATATGTACTACCCAGACTCTACTTAGACCCATGCAATTCAGTCCCAACCTCACCCTCAATCACAACAGCTATATCTTGGTTAGAAAAAAGACTAATTTTATCAATGTAAAATGTGCAATCCAGGTGATAGTGTATGATATTATGAGATAGATTTTCAAAGTTCAAAGTCAGTTAAATCAATTTCCTTAGACTCAGCTCAGGGGCTTGAAACCAGGCCTACTAGTTTACTTCCAGTCTCTGTAGCCTTTAACAACCTGCCCTGTCCTGTTTCCATGACATAGTATGGAAACAGTTTCCATATTATGTCAAACAACAGGCTGATTGTATTCTTCTCATGTATTTGTTCCAGCAGCTGACTACTTTCTGTGTCCAGCTATAATCAGCGGATCACATCTCTGGCCACCTGTTACCTCAGAGCCACAGGTGTCTTGAGGTGAGGATGTAGCCAGATTTTCTTCAGCAGGATTTGATAAGCACACCAGGAAGTACATACAGTCAACTGCTATCTCTTTCAGTGCCTACACACTCAGACACAACACCTACAAACACACACACATTAGTATTATTAGTAACAAAGGGGGGACTCAACAGGCTGCTTGCCTCATACAGCAATAAATACCAGTAACTGTCCTTGGGTAAGATATTGAACCTATAAAGTGCTTACTGACTGTAATGCACACTGGTTAAAAGTCTTATTTAAAGCTATAGACTCTCTGAGGTCCTTTCACACTGTGTCGCTGTCCATGGTATCCAGCTATGTGTTTGGCGAGACAGCCAATAAAAACAGGGAATATGTAACATTACATACAGAAAGACACAATGAACAAGGAAGCAACAGCAGATGGGTTGCACTAATCTCCTCTAACTGTGTCAATTACAGTAGCGGGTTACTTACTCTTGGTGATCTTCTGTAGCCCAAGCACATCCTCGGGCGTTATTACGGTATTTCTGCGCAATTCTTCTTCAGTTGTAACCGGGATCCCCATGTCTGATGAGTTGCAGCCGTGCTGCACTTTCATGTCCAGCAGAAGAGGGCTGTTCGGTGCGCAACCTGACAGGAACTGAGGCTTTCTGATGCTCTCGGCGTCGTCGCCGCAGGAGCCGATTTACTTGCGTCGCAGCCTTTAGTTGCGCGCTGGCTAATACACCGCACAGCAAACAGGCTCTGTGCTGCTACAAGAATAACTCATTCTCCGTGCCTCCTCCCCTTCTCGATCCGGTAAAAGATAAAAATCAGTCTCTTAGCTCCCTCCCTCCCTCCCTCCCGCGCACAAGGCTCATCGGCTCTCTCACAAGCTATTTAATCCAAATCCTGTGGCTTTAAACCGACCAGTGGTGTGTGGCTGATAGTCTGTCTGCGCGCCTCGTCATCTGCTCATACACCAGAGCGTGCATGGCTGGGCTTTACTCGGGGACAGTAACTGATTACTCAGTACTCGTTACCTCACCTCAGAGATGAGCTCCTCACCTCAGTGCGGCAGGAGTTCACAGGTGTCAGAAATGACCTCTTGAAATGATTTTTAGCTCAGGTAAACTGCTCGGGACGCTAAATCATCAGGAAGCTGGTTATGTCGACTGATTCTTTAGAAATATAGATTGTAGGTTCATAATGTGCATTTTAGCTTCCCAACACATAAACTCAAAATATAAAATATATTCTTGAGGTTTGGCTCTGTGCCATTGTACCTAACATATAAAGTATAGTATTTTAAAGCAACCTATACATTATCACCTTATAATGGTTACAAACAATTCCCCACTCATAGACACTGAACAACCCAAGCATTCATTTGGAGTCGTGTTTCTGGCCTGCTAATGAAGTCCAATATGTACTCTCCTTATAGCTCTGTTTGGGTCTCTACCAACTCCTGCAGGAAATGTCTCCTTAGATGCTTTATGCTCCAATATGTTCAAGCCAGGTAAATAATTCTCTTTGGGTTCATTGATAACAGTAAGCCCTTTCACATATTACATGTCCCTTTAACCCATTGTTGATATAAAAAATAGGATTAGTGACAAATGTCCAGTTGTAGCACTCAGTATAAGACCATTATGATCATTGTATCAAAGCAAGCAAAACAAAGGTGGAACTGAGACTATATTTGAGCTTTGTAATATCTTTATTTCATTGTTTTCATTGGAAATTTGCTTTCCAGATGCCAGCATCCCTGAGAAAGTGTAAAAAGCAAATCTTCTGGACAGCCCCATCAATGAGCTGAAACAGGGACAGCCAAAAGATATTCACATCTGCAAAACACAACCCTGCAGAGTCCCCTTTCTCTTTAATCACAGACTTGCCAGTAGCCTCCTCCAGTCACTGAAGGGAGGCTTTTGGAGCCGTGATGAGGAGATAGTGCCTCCCTCTGCTTGGCAAACTTACTGCAGGGCATGTGCAGAGCTGAGAGCTGTCCATGGTAGTATTGTGTGAGTGATGTGATTGTTTATCCCTTTACTCTCTAAAATCTGTGGATCCCAGGAGAGGAAGAGCGCTTTGGTGAACAGGCTTATTGGCATCATTTCAGCTTGAAACACATAGGCGAGTAATTAAAATAAAATAAAAGGGGTGTAATAGCATTGAAACAAACTAATAAACACAAACTATCAACTTTAATCTGCTAATCCCCTATAATCTCGCTTTCATAAATATGATAAATCATATTATCTTTCTATGAGGTCTGTAGACAGAGAGCATTGCTACCGTTTTTACAGGTGTTACAGTTGCTATGGAAGTCTGTGACAATCAGGACTTCTAATCAAGATCATTCACGATGCCACATACTCCCAAATCCTACCAGTAAAAGCAGTAACAATATTCAAAAGCCGTTAGCTTGTGCGGCTAAGTGGCTGTTGAAGAATTTCCAAGGGATGTTCAGCAGCATGGCAACCTTAACCCCATGGTATTCCCTCCGGTTAGCCCACAGTCTGCTGGACTCCTCTCTATGCGGTCATCTCAAAGCAGCCCCTGCGGTGTGTCTGCATGTCTCTCACCCTGCGGATGGACTGGATCTGGGCGTGGTGGGCTCCCCAGTCGTTCCAGTGCTTGTAAGGGCCCATTTCAAACACGTACTGGTAGCCACGGTAGCCAGGGTACTGGTAGCCCACCCAGCTGTGTGGGGAATGGAGAGAAACACGTGAACCAGAGAATGAGTTACAAGCTTTGTGTCTGTTTAATTTTGACATTCTCACTTCTGTAAAGGGGGAATTTAAACATCTATAAATACACTAGTACTCTTATAACAATTACACAAGTGAAACTACCAGCTTATTAGAGGATGACTAGAAATGACTTACGTTCCACCGGTGACCTGAAGGCTGGCAACGCGGTCCTGGAAGCCGTAAGACCACAGGCTTGGAATATCCTCATCACAAACCTCCATCTTACGACCCTCGAAGTTTGGGCACTCATACAGGCAAATCTTGTGGTCCTGGGGATCCTATAAGATACAAGGATCAGAATCCAAATCAGGTTTATTGCTAACAGAGACAGTAAGAGAGAATAAAAGGGAAAAAAGTCCTGCAAAAGTCATAAATTTAAAATAAAGATATATCGGTTTTTAAACTGAAAAGAGCTGTACAGTGTTTAAAACTAAGAGGGCGGAATGTGCAAAGCATAGATCAACGAATGTGCAAACATTACTTTCAAGTGAGTTGATGTTTACCACTTTTCATACAGATATTTGTCGATGTGGTTGGTGCAGCTCCAGAATTCAACCAATGAGATTTTCCAGTCAGGAACACTATGGTTACATGAATTGTAACATTATACTGATTATGGGTTTGAATAGAAATGTGGTTTTAGAAACTAAGACCAAACCTCCGGGGGAGAACACTGAGTACTTGCAGTTGTCTGGATTTTTTTTAGTCTGAATATCATCAAACTGAAACATAGTGGCATAGTCGGCTAATAAAAGCTTTAATCCAAAAATACTGCCAGTGGATTGAGCCTATAAATACACATATAACTGCAACAATAAAAAGCACTTCCCCCTTGTGCCAATAAAAGATGGATGAGAGAGGATAGACAACTGTGATAAAAATCAGCACTCGCAGCCACAATAGACAGGAAATGTGGCACAAAAAGCCCTTGCAGTCCGACCCCAACTTACCATTCGGACGGGTCTGACCGACATGAAGCGGTCACACCTGTAGCTGTTGGACCAGGTGTCCCAGCGGGGATACTCTCCCTTCTCCAGCATGAACATCTCACCAGTCATGTTCTGCTGCTCGTAACCCACCCAGCTGGACAGATAGACAGAAAGATGTTTTACTCAGATACACATTGCTGTAACACATATTTGGATGGCAGGCGCGGTAGACTTACGGTCCACACTCCACCCTGATGGAGCCGATTCTGTCGAAACCCTTCTCACACAGGTTACGGCACTCTCCAAACAGGTCCATCCTACGGCCTTGGAAATTCTCATATTCATAGAGGTATATCTGAAAGGTAAAACAGGCCAAATTTATGTCTGATGTCAAATATTTTCAATGCACAATGAGGTTTTGTAGTTTTTAGGATTGGTAGATTAAAGAAAAACAGTAGGAGTACCTTGTGATTGTGCATCCCCATGGCAGAGTGGCTGCCAATACTGCCCTGAGCACCTGAGTGAGACATGATCAGATCTAGAGAGAGAAGAAACACAAAGTCAGTCAGACATTTTCAGAGATCACTGTGGGGTTATGATACAGCGTGTACTCCAATAGAGTGGTGTGTAAAATGGCAAACCAAGCCAACATTCATTCATTCATCTAACATTCAGAACTGTATCACTATAACAAAAGGGCCTCTGCAAATGCCCTGAACTGAGGCACGCTTTGATATCTAAATGCATTGAGGATCAATATGAAGATGTTTACGTCTATAAAAAAGATTGAAATCAGATCAAACACTAAAGAACATTTTTCTATATGTGCCTTTATTTTGTGAGGAGCATACAGTCTAATCCAATTAATTTATGCCACTCAAGAACAGTCTGAGGGTGCAGCCTGATGGAGGCTTTAATGAGTTAAGACCGGGCTGAAAAGCAACATTTCACTGCCCTCTCTGGTGGAAAGTCTGTTTCTGACCATAACCAGAATCACTGATGGGTGTGGTAGTGCCTAAAGTGTGCTCTGTAACCACACCCAACAATGATGTCATGGTGTACCGGCACACCCTTGAGTACACAACAAAATCACTCAGCAAAAACAAGATTTTCAATGGGTGTGAATGTGCTCCTCAAGATCAAAACATAATGCGAAACAGTCCAACATCTTTATTTCTTTTCTTCTATAATGGACCCAACATTAATCTCAAGGCTGAATGTCTTTTCTTGCCTTTTTCACCCTAATTTTATATTTGAATAGCAAAATGGAGAACATAATTCTGTCTTTCCAGTAAAAGTGGACTATAACTGATCAACTCTTTATGTTTTGCTTGCTGAAATCCATCCAAGCAACCATTTGTTAGCAATTTCATCTGATTCTACCTCAAAGTGGTAGCACATCCCGTGATCTTTTTGGCCTTTCCATGAGAGCAAGAATACTCATTAACCAGCCACACATCTGTCCAAACCTGCCATTATCAATTTTTTTAAGGATAAAGTTTTAGCCACGGTCCCTTATCTTTCTCCTCCATGTTACCACATGATGAGCCACTGAACATGAGAGCGGCCCTAAAACATAAAATCATACCCTGCTGCATTTTATGTCAATATTCCATCTACTCAGTCCAAAATTAAGAGAGGATAAAATCCTTGCTTGGTTCTTTCAGTCCAAAGTGTGAGTAGAAAAGTAAACCATAATATTCCCCATCATATCCAGTGATTCTAGCAGCTCTTAAAGAGTTAGAAGACCTTAGAGTGGAAACTTACAGTTACAATTGCAGGTTGAAACGGACCGACCTTTGGAGAAAGTGATGGACGCAGGCCTTGTGAGTGGGGATATATATATACATTCACAACCAGCCTGAGTCTATACAGGCCGGATTCTGACTTCTGATTGGCTGTGAGCTGTTTAGAGCATGGTGCAGGGTCAGAGGTCACGCTGCTTATCTGCGGACAAGTCGTGCTGACTCGGCTGCCTGTTTTGTTGTCCAGCACCATTGTGGGGCACCGGGGACAGTCACTGCCATCAGCAGAAAGTTTGCCCGCCCCTCTACACACACATACATACACACACACATTTGCTCTCTCTCTCTCTC